GGCCGGTGTGGGGCTGAGGCAGCTGGGGGGCCGCCAGCTAAGCAGGCCAGTTAGGTCTTCAGGGTTCACGTCTCCAGGCAGGATCGCTGCTCCCAGCGCCGGGGCAGGGTCTCAGGGACCCCGCACCTCCCAAACGGCCCCGCTCAGCTTCTTAACCCGCCTCATTGCCACCCAGCCCCACCCAACCCCGGAAAAGGGCTCTCAGGCCAAGCCCACCCCCAAGCTGTGCACAGAGGCCCTCACTTGCCTCGCCCCACAGCCGGCTGGCTGCCCTGTGGCCAGAGCGGACGACCAGACAAGGCCCGTAGCTCACCCACGTGCCTCCCCACAGCAGCCGGCACCCAGAGCACCCAGCTCACAAGGATTCCCACCCAGGCAGATGCCTCTTCAATGGGCTGGGTGACCCGGGACTCCTGAGGTGGGTGCTGGGTGGGAGACATGACCCCTGGGACTGGTCAGACCTTGAAGATGGGGAGATGGGGGGCTGGGGGGTGTGGGTAGGACACAGTCTGAGCGAAGGCCTAGAGCCCAGAGAGAGGGTGCAGCCACAGATGACTCCGCCTGACCAAGATGCTCTCACTACCCTCCCCCTAGGCCCACGCCCCTCTCCCCACCCCGGGCAGCCCCAGCCCTCGCTTGGGGCCTGAAGCCCCCCTCCAGTGAGTCCTGCCAGTGTGGCCCAAGGAGAGGGGTCACTGAGGATGGAACACTTTGAGAAAGGAGGGCAGCAGGGAGGGGGCGTGGGGCGGGTGCCAGGGGAGACCAGATGTATGTAGCCTGGGAGAAGGCAGGAAGGGGCTGAGAGGAATCCTGGGGACACGGGGGATCTGCTAGGTGACCCCCAAGCCTTCCTGCAGCCCCTCTCCAAGGGCCGCCTGGGCCCACTCCCCTCACCTTAGGGACAAGGCAGGCACCAGTTAACTCAGGACACTCAGCCCAGCAGGAAGGAGCCAGGGAGGCTGCGGAGCTTCAGTCTGTGCTGCCCCCTGGTGGCATCTGGGGAGGGAGGCTTGGGGCCCATCTGCCAGGGTGCCCACAGCCTGGAAGGTGGAGGCACCAGGCCTGGATCCCAGTGCCCTGCCCCTGGGTTCCTCGACCCTGCAGGGTGCCAAGGACGGGTTCCCCCTTGGCTCTCAGCCACAGTGCACTTGGCCTGAGATACTCAGAGTGGTGCCCACATGGCCTGCAGCAGCCGCTGGAGAGGGGAGGCAGGAAGGGGAGGAACTGGGGTGGCAGTAAGGAGACCCTGGCACCCCCAGGATGGGGAGTAAAGGGGGAGACAGGCATGCTGTGGCTGAGGTGGGCTTGAGCTGCGTGCAGGGGTATCTTGGTAATGGCCAGGCCAGGGCCTCATACAGCCCACTCGGTGGAGGCCACACTGTGGCCAAAGGAGGGGTACCAGGCGGGTGAAGGCCTGGACCAGGTGGCTCCCAGAGCAGCTGTCACCTTCCCTGGCTCTGCAGCCTAGCACCCACCCTGCACCTGTGTGTGCTGTTCCAGGTGGTTCCCTGACCAGGCGGGTCTGTGTCTTCACCAGCTTACACTACGCGTCCCAGCCGGGTTGAGGTCTGTCACCTTGCGGCTTGTGTCCTATTTGTCCTGTGTCCTGTCCCTCTTTTCCTGCCTCTTCCCAAATGTAGTTTTCCCCTTTTATTCCACGTGTACCCCTTCACCTCAGGACCACAAAGAGGCCAGGGCAGGGCTCGCATGGTGTAGAGTAGGAGGGTGCCCAGGAATCTGTGTGGGAGCTGCCACCCACCCGAGGGGGGAGTAACAAAACCAGCCGAGACAGAGGCAGGTCACAGAAAGGGTCTGTTGTGGTGGCAGCAGGGCCCTCACAGCCCCACGAAGAGAGCACCAAGTGACACCCAGGAGTCACCTCCCCAAGCACAGAAAACACCAGCACCGGCTGGGCCCGCCCAACCATGGGGCCCTGGGATTGCAGTGCTGTGCGCTGGGGGCAGCCCTGGCCACAGGCCGCAGGCCACCAGAGCACCTCCCACCTCGTGACCCCAGCAGTGCCGGGGCAGAGCCAAGGCACCCAGAGTGGGTGGCGGGGCAGGTGCCTCCAGGAACAGGGACAGCCAGACACAAACCTGCCCCACATCCTGGTCCCGAGCTGTCTCTCCCTGGCCTCTGGAAGCCAAGTGACCACTGGAGGCCAGGAGTCTGGTCTGCTGTGCAATGGCCAAACTCACCCCCGACCTTCCACAGCCACAACCAGCCAGTACCTGCCTCCCAGCTCAGGAGCCGGGAAGTAGTCTTTTGTGTCCTCGATCTTTCTCCGTAAAACCAGAGGCACTGTGTCCTCAGAGGCTGTTAATGTGCACGGAGCTGGGGCGGGACCCACCGGCCTCACAACAGCAGGAGGCTGGGGCTGCGCAGCTGCTGATACACCTGCAGGAGCCTCTCGGCAGTGGCGCAGGAGCTGGCTTCGTCCTCTGTGCACAGCCGGTCCCGCAGGGTCTGCACCTCCCGCAGCAGCGCCTGCAGGTGGGTGCGAGCAGCAACAACTAGGCCCCCGCCCTCCCACCTGCATGTCACCAGGTCCCTCTGGGGACACCTGTCCCCCACAAACCCTACTTGAGACGTGGTTCAGGAAAAACTCTCATCTGTGGCCTTAGTGTGGGACAACCTGCCCGGCCACTGGAGACCCCTCAGGACAGGGCGTGGCAGGGGCGAAGGGGAGACCACACCCCCAGGTGACAGGAGGGTCCTAGCCAACAGGTAGGAACAGAACTAGAGACAGAAGTGACCGAGGCCACTCTTTGCCTCCCCACCCCATCCCTCTTGGTTCTAAGGGCTGTGCAGGCTGCTGGGAGGTTTGGGGACGGGAACCCAGGGGCCTCACCTCATGGTTGGCCTGGATCTGGTGGAGGTACTGCATGCGGAGGTCAGGTGGGCTGGAGCCCCGGGCGGCCTGCTCCATAACCATCCTCTGAGGGCACAAGGGGCAGGTTGCTAGAGGGTGACAGGCAGTGCCAAGGGCTCCGGGGGCCTGTCCTCCGGCCCTTCCCTCCCCCAGTCTCCCTGCCTCGCCCCATTTCCTCCCAGGCCCCTCGGGCTCCCCCCCATTGCAGGCACACACCAGCTCCTGCTTACCACCCTCCCACATCTGCTCCCCACCCTTGTTCCTGCCCAGTCTGTTCGGCCACTCAGCCCACCGTGGGGCTGCTCCGAGTCCCGCTTTCCAAGTCCCCCTCCTCCACGCTGGCTCCCAGGGTTCAGATCTAAGCTCCAGACAGCTATAGACAGCAAGGGCCCTGCTGCCTCCAGAGCAAAGCCTCGAGGAGATGGGGACACTTGGCTCCTCCCTGGGCGGAGAAATGCAGGAGCTGGACCAGCCATCGGCATGGAAAGGGAACAGGTGTCCTTGGTGGGTAGAGCCTAAGAGGTGGCACCACTATCCTGGAGGCAACCTGCCACCAGAATGCCGGGACCAGATTCCCGGGCCTAGTGCGAAGCCTCGAGGTGTGCCAGGCAGGGCCATCACAGCAGTGAGGTGACCACTGGGGTCACGGCGGGATGAGAAGGGTCACAGAAAGGTCATGGTGCCACACAAGGTGGTCATTAGAGTTGCTGGCCTGGGCTAGTGCAGGTGCCCGGCCCACCTGAGGTCCGGCACTGCCCTCAGACCCTCGTCAAAGCTCAGACTGTGGGCTGATTCTCGAGGGCAGGGCTGGGGCCTGGGAATGCATGTTGGTAAGTTCGCAGGTGAGGCTGATGCAGACCATGCTTAAGAAAAGTCACCAAAGCTGGCTGGCTGGTGGCCGCACTGCGACCGGTGCCGGGAGGGGCACCAGCTGACAGCCATTTTCTGGAACGTGAAGACTTTCTTGGAGCTGGAGTTGTCCCACCCCCGCACGGCACTGAAGCAGCCTGTCCCAAAACCCATGCAGGGAGCCACAGACCCCACAGTCCATGTCCCAACCAGCCCGTGGAGACCTCCCCAGCAGGGGATGTACCTGCATACGTCCAACGACAGCATGGTGGGCCCTGCACATGTTGGCCAGAGAGGAGCTCTCCACCTGGATCTCCACGGCCTGGATGGGCCCCGCAGGGCACAGGTCGGTCACGGCCACCTGTGACAGAGGAGGAGCCTCGTGCCCACCCACAGCTCCCTGGCCCCTCTGCCTCCCTATAACGTCCTGGGCAAAGTTTGGTGCTGGGTCTCCTTGACCAACGGCAACTCCCACCAAAGAACCACCCACCAAATCTGCTCACCCGTCTGGGAAGAACTCTGCTCCCTGTGGCCCTCACTCTAGAACACGGTGACAACTGTGACTTTGCCTGGGCACCTCCCACAGCCCACATGGGACAACCCAGATCACCAGAGCAGCTGCCATCGAGGCCGCCTTCCCCAAGGACAGGAGAGCTGACCCCTGCTTGCCTCATGGACAATAAGGCAGATGTCAGTGCCGTCCGGGGCCACTCCCTGGACAGAGGACAGTGCTTGGGACCTCACGACATCCACGGCGGCATTCTCAGCGAGGAGCCACTGCAAGGTGGCACAACACAGGGACACACCTGAAGGACAGAGGTGCAGGCCATGAGCGTGGATGGATCCTAGGACAGTGAGGAAGCACCCCACATCCACGGGCCTTGGTGCATCCACAGGGAGCAGGGGCCACAAGGCCAGAGCGCAGCCGGTCAGAACCACCAACCTGATGAACTGTCCCCCAAGGCGGCTCTGAGCAGCTCTGCTGACACCCTGATAGCGGCCACGGAAGGGGGCAGGTACTTGGCCCGCAGGGACTCGGGGCCCGATGGCTCGCTGCTGAGCCTGCAACAACTTTCCAGGAAGGTGTTCACGGGGTCACCCGAAGGGTGGGATGGCCCGGGGGCCTGCACGTGGGGTGCGGCTAGGCCAGGAAAACGCAGGCCCTGCAGCATGTCCACCGTGTGCTCGCTCAGGGGCAGGCAGATACCCCCCTGCTCAGGCAGGACGTCGGGGGGGCACCCGACCAAGGCAGGGTCCTTGAAAGAGTCCGAGGGGGCCAGGGCCCCGCCCACAACCTCCCTGAGGCTGTAGAAGAGCGCACAGGACACGGTCAGGGGCAGGTCGAGCACGCCATCCTCCCCAGGGCCGAGGAACAGCGTCACCTCCCGCCGACCGCCGGGGCCGAGCTGGTCCACGGGGATGGTGTAGGTCACGGCTGAGCCAGCCGTGTCCGGGTCTGAGGCATGGGAGCTGGGGAGCACCTGGACACACAAGGCCCAGCCCCGGTCCAGGCTGAAGCCACTACTGTTCTCTAGCAGGCAAGTGGCGGTCAGCACGTCCTGCAGCTCCTGGTGGCTCCAGGCAGTGGTGGTGGTGCAGGAGATGGGCCGGGGGCCCTCCCGGCTGGACAGCAGGGCGCAGCTCACATTCATGGCCTCGTTGAGGCACATCAAGGCCCTGTTCCGCTGGTCCACGGCCTTCTTCAGGGAAGACACTCTGGGGAGAGCAGACGGGGCACCAGGGAGGAGCGCGGAGCCGAGGTGGTGGGTACCACCCCCTACTACTGGGGTCAGAAAGGTCCAGACTTTGCTCCAAGCACCAATTAGGGAGCACCTGCCTCGGGGAGCAGCACTCCTTGTCCCACCCATGCTGTCCCCAGCCATCTGGGCCTAACCAGCTCTCTGGGTCAGGGAGTTTGCCGCCCCTGCCAGGGCCACATGGGCTAGCTGGTGCCTGTGCCAGGCTGGCCTCCCTACCATGTTTCTCGAGTTCTGAGTTGGCCTCTTTGCTCCACTCAGCCCTTAGAGTGACCAAGCACTATGGACGTGGCCCAATTCTACAGGGCCCTGGAGCCTAAGGAGACTCCTCGGGGCCACAGGAGGGCAGGTGAGGGACCCGCTCTCTCTGAATGGGTCAGAGGAAGGGCTGTGGACATCAGTGAACGCAAAGAGGAGAAGATCTCCGAGGAGAGGATGTCCTACATCCCCTACTAGAGAAAAGGGGGGTGGTCTGAGAAAATGGTGGGGGCCCCTTTTGCCTTCTGAGGGAGCCAGCCTAGTGTCAGGCATTTCTATGTCTGAGGCTCTTCGTAGGGACCAGAGGCAGAGTAAAAGGTCTGGCCTGGAGCAATATCCACACCTGGCCTGGGCACAGCCTGCAACTCACCTCTCAGAGACGGTGCCGATTCCACAGAGCAAATCCTTAATCTTTCGGCCAGTGTCCGCCGCGGTCACCCTGGTGGGATGAGGTGGCTCGGGGTTCAGGTCCAAGCTGCAGGTCATCAGGCGGCCTTTGGCAGACAGGGCCAGGAGCTCAGTGCCCCCTGAAGATGACACAGGCCAGGTCCAGTCAATGGGCAGGAGGAGCAAGCTGCTGGAACAGCTCCCCCAGACTCAGGACAAGTGCTGGCCGAAAACCAGCACCCAAAGGAGGACCCAGGACGAATGGAGAGCCTGGACGTACGCCACGGTCTGGGCGGAGCTGCCCAAGTTCATTATACACACACTCCATAGAGCCCTCCCTAGAAGGAGACATCAGCTCAGCAGGGGTGGCACCGCTGTGTCACATCGCACACGGATGGGACTAGAAGAAGCCAAACAAGGAATCCTTGTGGGTATATCCATCCGACTCCTGCCTGCTTTCCTACGCCCCGCCATCCACATGGCCCTCTTTCCTTGTGGTGCACAGTGGCCTTTCCCTGTCAAAGCATTTCTTCCACATTAGAATTGCCTACAGCAGGCTTCAGGCCGACTCAGCGACCATCTAACAGGAACATACATTAGAGAACCTGCTGTCCCCCAACACTGGACAGAACACACAGGACCATAACTCCAGGAAGCCACTGCCTCCAGTGCAGGATGGCTTGTTAACAGTGAGCAGGGGTGGTGTTTCCTGGCCTTTGGGAGAAATGCCAAGGCCTGAACTTCTCCTGGACCAACTGCAATGCAGGACCTGTCATGGAAAGACACTGCTGCCCTGGGTCACCCAGGTGCAGACCCCACCCAGGCAGAGCGGCACACCTCCTACAGGCAGGCACTCTCTGACCCCAAGACCTAGACCATCAACTAGGAGGCTCTGCCAGGTGAGGATGAACCTGCCCTGCCAGGATTATAGCAGCTGGGAACGAGATAGGGAGAGGACAGGCCAGTTCCCAGGGGATAAACTACCAAAGGGGGGTCCACCTGTCCCCAAAGCTCTGGTTATTCAGGTTTAAACAGCAACTCATACCTTCCGATGACCTAGACGACACACAGAGGGTGACGACGCTGCAGACACCCAAGCTGGCTGGACACAGCAAAGAGGGCAGGCCTCCTGGGCAGTCGGGCTGCACGGAGTCCCCGGGGGTGCCTCCTCGAGCCAGGTCCACCACGCAGAGGTTGGCAGGGGTGCTGTGGTAGACGCGGCCGTCCCCGCCACAGGCTGCACACAGCACAGGCCCCGGCAGGCAGTACTCCCGCAGCTCCGGCACCAGATTCCCTGCCTCGTCCCAGCTGGCCTTGATGGCCAGTGTCCGGCCACGATGACCGAGTGCCACAAGGCAGTCTGAGTTGGCGTCCTCTAGGTCCTCAGCCAGTGGCTCTGTCCTCAAGGCCCCGATGAAGATGACGGGCTCCTCCAGGTGATGGAGGATCTTGACAAGGGCTTTCGGGTCACCAGGGGCCAACCTGGAGGTGACCAGGGTCTTCAGGACCACGCAGCAGAGCTGACCATCAGGGAGACCACAGAGGATCACGGGAGATTCCAGGAGGGCGGCGTCGGCTCCAAAGAGCAGCCCAAAGAGGGGCCCCTCCAGCGTGAAGCCCCTGGGACCCTGCAGGTGGCTGTGCGGAGCCCTGGAGCCCGGCGGCAACGCGCAGCACAGCACTGGGAGGAAACGGGGGGCTGGGGGCGGCCCCGGGCTCCCAGGCGGGGGGGTGTAGGTAGAGAGCTCCACCTCGCCGATCTGGCCTCCGGGCCCGGGGTCCTCCCCGGGGCGCGGACACTCGAACAGCCGCACCTT